AGTCCTGAGGGAATCAACCAGAATCAGTAATCTCAGTAAAGAAAATTTGTTGATCCAAATTTACAAGTCAGTGTCAGCATAATCGCAATGCTCAGGTTTGGAATTCCCAATATCTAAAATGTGATGTTTGTGTGCATTGATATTCAGTGATTCGGGATAGATAATGAAAAATTGCAAATGCCGTTATCTTGTGAATAACCCATCACTGGTTTCATCCTCATCCTCACTGTCAGCATTCATTGTTTGTGCTGACAGATATTGGGAAGGGCATATTATAGCTGTGGTGAAAACATTTTATCATTGATCATTCACTGTGTCTCACTAGGTTCATGAAATCTCATCTGTTCATCACTGAGCTATCCTATTCCCCTGTGACATCACTAGGTACTCACCATTGTAGGATGTATAAGTCAAGTTTCTTAGTGCCCAAGTACCACAAGCATGGGATGCCTTCACCAGTTTTCTTACCCTACCTTATCACAGGAAGGATGGAGGCTTTATATCTTGGGATGACATTCATGTGTTTGAAATTTCATGGCAATTATATGTGGTGAGTGTGTATCCAATAATGTTGAGCCTGTGCATATATTCCAAGATGCGAAGGCCTGTCCAGTTTGACATTGTCGTATTTCCACATGTTGCCTGTTTCCTGCATATCAGGACAAGTTCACTAATCCAACAAAAAGAAAAGGTATCTGAGTTTAACCTACTGATGTATACATTAGTCCACTAGAACACTGTGAGTGTGTGTCCCCCTTTTGACCCTACATGGTAACTTAGTGATTTCACTGCACTCTGGGCCCTGTAGACTGGAATATTCTGAGCCACATATATGCAAGACTGGAGCATTAATAATTCCTGGCACAGTGAGAACATAATACACTTGCCAATGTAGTAACAATCACTGTGGAAAGTATTTGAAAATACATTCACCTATCAATATGCTGTGTAATAAATTGGACTGAAAGTCCAGATCCATTTCTTGGTACTACCTGTTCGAAAATTCACAGCTCAGTTACCCAATATCGCCTAATTGGAATTATAAGTCAAGGCATCTTCAATTACCATCCTTTTATCATGGTCTTAGTCAGATTGGATACCAAGAAGGAAGGGTGATCCCAAGTTTTATGGCTTAGATTTCATTGGAACCCTAGAAGGTCTTGCTTTCTAATGTTTGAAGGATGATATCAAAACTAGACCTGGGTACATACCCTGATATTGCCACGTACCTGAAGGTGAAATGATTGAGGCACCATGTCTGGCCCCTCCTTAACTAAATGCATAAGAGAATAGATGGAAATGAGCATTGTGCTGATTCTGCCATATGGACATACAGAGATTTTGCCAAAAGAGCCTTCCTTGGGATGACTCATGCTCCCCTAAAGAAGAGCAACAGGACTTAACAGGATTCCCCAGAAGGGTAACACTGCCGGGTGAATGAGGGCCTGCAAACGGGCCTATGGGAAAGGCCTGATGGGACTAATCACCCATTTCACCCCTGTCCTTTAACCTGGGCCTCAGCAGCCAGAACCTGAGCACGAGTTTTATGTCATCACCTCTCTTCATGAGGTAGGTTTGTCATAATAGACCTGTGTCCTCAGAAGGCATAGCTATACATGCTAGTTGGACACAAACATTGCTTCTTACCAGGATGACAAAGACCATCTATTCAGAAGGTATATCTCGGCAATCTTCACACAAATGGTCAGTGGTCATTAGCCTCCTGATGGTATCAAGCAGAATCAGTTATCTCAGTGAAGAAAATTTATGGATCCATATTTACAAGTCAGTGTCAGCACAATCGCAATGCTCAGGTTTGGAATGCCCAATATCGACATTGTGATGACTGTGTGCATTGATAATCAGTGATTCGCGGCAGATAATGATAAATTGCAAATGCAGTTATCTTTTGGCACACCTAGCCAAGATTAACCCATCACTGTATTCATCCTCATCCTCACTGGCAGCATTCAATGCTTGAGCTGACAGACCATGGAAAGGGCATTTTATAGACCAGTTGAAAACATTTTACCATCTTATAATTCACTGTGTCTCACTAGTTTCAAGACATCTCATCTGCTCAGCACTGAGCTATCCTATTTCCCTATCACATCACTGAGTACTCACCATTGAAGGATGTATAACCTCAAGTTTCTAAACTGCCCACACACCACATGCATAGTATGCCTTAACCAGTTCTCTTACCGTATCTTATCACAGGAAGGATCGAGTCCTTTATAGTTTTAGATGACAATCATATGTTTGAAATTTCATGCAAATTAGGTGGGGTGAGTGGTTATCCAGATAATGCTGAGCCTGTGCATCTATGCCAAGAGGGGAATGTCTGTCCAATTTCTTATTGTCAAATTGTCTCATGTGCCTTGTTGCCTGCATCTCAGGACAAGCTCACTAATCCTAACAAAAAGAAATTGTATCTGATTTAAACTTAATGATGTGTACATTAGTACACTAGAATACTGTGAGTCTCTCTCCCTTTTGACTCTAAGAAAGGTTACCTAGTGATCTCCCTGCACCCCTGGGCCTGCAGATTGGACACTCCTGAGCAACATCTATGCAAGACTGGAGCATGAAAACTTCCTGGCACAGTGACAACATAAAACTCTTGCCAAGGTATTAACAATCAATGTGGAATGTATTTGAAAAAGACATTCACCTATGAATATGCTGTGTAATTAAATGGACTGAAAGTCCTGATCCATTTCTTATTCCCACCTGTTCGAAAATTCACAGATCAGTTACCCAATGTCTACTAATTGGAATTATAAAGTCAAGGCATCTTTAATTACCACCCGTTTATCATGGTCTTTGTCAGATTGGATTCCAAAAAGGAAGGGAGGACCCAAGTTTTGTGGCTTAGATTTCATTGGAATCCTAGAAGGTCTTCCTTTCGAATGTTTCAAGGATGATATCAAAATGAGACCTAGGTACATACACTGATATTGCCACGTACCTGAAGGTGAAGTGATTGAGGCACCAAGTCTGAATCCTCGTTCACTGAAATGCATAAGAGAATAGATGGAAATGAGCAATGTGCTGATGCCAGCCATCTGGACATACTTAGATTTTGCCAAAAGAGCCTTCCTTCGGAGGACTCATGCTCCCCTAATGAAGAGGAGCTGGACTTAACAGGATTCCCCAGAAGGGAAACAGTGCTGGGTGAATGAGGGCCTGTCCAACGGCCTATGGGGAAGGCCTGATGAGACTAGTCCCCCATTTCTCCCCTGTCCTTTAACCTAGGCCTCAGCAGCAGGAACATGAACATGATATTTTTGTCATCACCTCTCTTCATGAGGTAGGTGTGTCATCATAGACCCGTTACACATAAGACATAGTTATACATGCTAGTGGAACACAAACAGTGCTACTTACCAGGATGACAAAGACCATCTATTCAGAAGGTATGTCTCGGCAAGCTTCACACAAATGGTCAGCAGGCATAAGCCTCCTGTGGATATCAAACCGAATCAGTTATCTCAGTGAAGATAATTTAGGGATCCACATTTACAAGTCAGTTTCAGCACAAATGCAATGCTCAGGTTTGGAACTCCCAATATCTACATTGTGAAGACTGTGTGCATTGATAATCAGTGCTTCGGGGTACTTAATGATAAATTGCAAATGCAGTTATCGATTGCACACCTAGCCAATATTAACCCATCACTGGTTTGACTCTCATCCTCTCTGGCAGCATTCAATCCTAGAGCTGACAGACCATTGGTAGGGCATATTATAGGCCTGGAGAAAACATTTTAACATCTGATCATTCACTGTGTCTCACTAAGTTCAAGACATCTCATCTGCTCTGCATTGAGCTTTCCTATTTCCCTGTGACTTCACTAGGTACTCACCATTGTAGGATGTATAAACTCAAGTTTCTTAAGTTCCCAAACACCACAAGCATGGGGTGCCTTCACCAGTTCCCTTATCCTGCCTTATCACAGGAAGGATGGAGTTCTTTATAGCTTTGGATGACTTTCATGTGTTTGAAATTTCATGCCACTTATATGTGGTGAATGGGTATCCACATAATGATGAACATGAGCATATATGCCTAGTGGGGAATGCCTGTCCAGCTGCACATTGTGGTATTGCCTCATGTGGCCGGTTGCCTGCATATCAGGACAAGTTCACTAATCCTAACAAAAAGAAATGGTATCTGAGTTTAACCTACTGATATGTACATTAGTCCAATTGAAGACTGTGAGTGTGTGTCTCCCTTTTGACCTTCAGAAAGAACACCTAGTGATCTCCCTGCAATCCTGGACCTGAAGACTGGACACACATGAGCAACATCTATGCAAGACTGGAGCATGAATAATTACTGGCACAGTGACAACATAAAACTCTTGCCAAAGTATTAACAATCAATGTGGAAGGTATTTGAAAAATACATTCACCTATCAATATGCTGGGTAATTAAAATGGTCTGAAAGTCCTGATCCATTTCTTGATCCCACCTCTTCGAAAATCACAGCTCAGTTACCCAATATCTACTAATTGGAATTATACAGTCAAGGCATCTTTAATTACCACCCTTTTATCATGGTCTTAGTCAGATTGGATTCCAAAAAGGAAGGGAGATCCCAAGCTTTATGGCTTAGATTTAATTGGAATCCAAGAAGGTCTTGATTTCTAATGTTTGAAGGAGGATATCAAAACGAGACCGAGGTACTTAAACAGATATTGCCACGTACCTGAAGGTGAAATGATTGAGGCACCAAGTCTGAATCCTCGTTCACTGAAATGAATAATAGAATAGATGGAAATGAGCAGTGTGCTGATGCCGGCCATCTGCACATATTTAGATTTTGCCAAAAAGTGCCTTCCTTGGCAGGACTCATGCTCCCCTAATGAAGAGCACCTGGACATAACAGGATTCCCCAGAAAGGAAACATTCTATGTGAATGAGGGCTTGTACACGGGCCTATTGCAAAGGCACGGTGGGACTAGTTCCCCATTTCTCGCCTGTCCTCTAACCTGGGCCTCAGCTGCCAGAACCAGAGCATGATATTTATGTCACCACCTCTCTTCATGACATAGGTTTGTCATCATAGACCCGTGTCCTCAGAAGGCATAGCTATACCTGCTAGTGGGACACAAACTGTGCTACTTATCATGATGATGAAGACCATCTATTCTGAAAGTATGGCTCGGCAAGCTTCACACAAATGGTCAGCTGGCATAAGCCTCCTGAGGATATCAAGCAGAATCAGTTATCTCAGTGAAGAAAATTTATGGATCCAAATTTACAAGTCAGTGTCAGCACAATCGCAATGCTCAGGTTTGAATTCCCAATATCTACAATGTGATGATTGTGTGCATTGATAATCATTGCTTCTGGGTAGATAATGATAAATTGCAAATACAGTTATCTTTTGCCACACCTAGCTAAGATTAACCCTGCACAGAGGCAGTAACAATCAGTGTGGAATTTATTTGAAAAATACTTTCACCTATCAATGAGCTGTGCAAGAAAAATGGACTGAACTTCTTCACCCATTTGTTTTGTCCCATATCTTTGAAATTTCACAACTCATTTAACCAATACTTACTATAGGAATCCTAAATAACTCGGAATATTTTATTTCCAACTTTTTATCATGGTTTTAGAAAGAGTGGATTCCAAAAAGGAAGGGAGAGCCCAAGTTCACTGGCTTAAATTTCACTGGATTACTAGAATGTCTTGTTTTCTAATGTTTGAATAATGATATCCAATGGAGACATAGGCACTTAAGCTGATATTTCCACATATCTGAATGTGAAGTGATTGAGACACTGTAGGAGGAAGTCTGATGCCGCCATTAAACATGTGACTTATTAGAGGCGCATACAGATGAGGTAATAAAAGTACGGTTTACCACACCGCTAACCACACCCACTTTAGGCAGGACTGAAGACGTATACGGCTGAACGTAAGGACGTATACGTACGTAGGCGGAACTACGTCACTAGCCAGGCCCACTTTTGGGCATGGCTACTGGGCATTACGGGGGAAGGTATAAAAGACAGCACACAGGAAGTCTCGGTCTCTTTTCCTGGAGTTCGGGTTCTGGCTCGGCAAAGGAAACGTCTTGTATCGTCTGGTTTACTTGTTTGGTATCTTGTGAGTATTTCTACATTAAATACTTAGCTTTACTTTCAGTAATTGTGTGTCGCGTATCATTACAGCGTCCTTTGAAGCCTACAATTTGGTGTTGGGAGCAGGATTGGAATCCGGATCCAGGCGCCCAGAAAAGCAGCTTCTCTCGGCCCGACCAGGCACATGTGGACTCTCTTTTCGCTAAGTTCCTCACCACTTCGCTCAGCAAGGCACGATTCCTGCCGCCAGGAACCAGCACCTTCTACCTGCTGGTAAGATTAGGCGGTATTCTAAGATTTCTCTCGCAGCTACGTGCGGTTTTACTAGCGGCCTGCTGACTCCGGCCACATGCTATTTTGCTGGCAGCCTGTTGATTTCGGCTTGAATTACTCCACTGGTAACAAACGTAACTGCTTAATACCATGTCAACAGCTAACATTATGATAAAGGATGTTAAGAATTTTCTTGTTTTTTGTATGGAGGGGATTTTAGAAAGGGTTGAGGACCTACCTGAAAGGTAATTCCTACCCACGATGGTGATTATTAGCTTCATAATCAATATAATTTTGTTAATGAAATGGCTCAAAAATAGGAATAAACTTATACAGGTCATACAGTCATCGCAGGATAGTTTTGAAATCTTAATGCAAAGGATTCAGGAAATGCAAAATACATTGCAGGAGAGTAAGAAAGTGTTGGTAGAAAATATTCAGGATATTAAAAATGATAATGTAGGTCTGACGAACAGGTTTAAAGAGACGGAACACAAAATCGAATTTCTTTCAGGAAAAATGTGTTCCACAGATAGAATTGAAAAATTGGAACATAATGTTGAAACATTTAACGAAAAACACGGTTCCATGTTTGATGATTTCACTAGCAAATTACAAAGACTGGAACATAAAATTGAAATGATAACAGAAAAGAATTGTTCCATGTCGGAGAGCAATGATAAACTGACTGATAGAATATCATTTGTGGAAGGCAGTTTACATGCTATTGAAGTACTTTATAAGGACGAGAATATAAGAAATTTGGAATCACATGTAAATGATGAATGTAAAAAAATAAAAGATTCCATGACGTCCTTAGAAAATTATTTGTCCCAAGAACTTCAAGAGCTCAGAGAAACAATGATGAATAGACTACAGGATTTAGAAGACGCTCAATCTGATACTTCAGAATCAGAAATGCAGGCAACAGGTCAGGACAGGAGTTTCCCAAAGCTTCTCAAATGCCGGAATGATTTCCCTAAGGTTGCTATGTGTTCCCCTATGGTTTTTCCAATATCTGTAACAGAAAAACCAGCAAAGAAAAAACAATCAAATGGTCATATTGCTTATCACTGGGAGCCTATACAGATGAAGGAGCTAAAAAATATTAAGGAGGCCATTGTCTTGTCTGGTCTTCATTCTCCCTTTGTCAGAGAGCTCCTAACCTCATGGGCTACTGTAAATAAAGTAACCCCAAAAGAGTGGGCCCAATTAGCCTATGCAGTGCTCGAAAATTCTTGTCAAATTCAATGGAGAGCTTTATGGAGGCAAGAACAAAAGCTATAGAAATTCAGGAATTACAGAACGGTCATGAATTACCCCAAGACAAAATTCTTGGGGAGGGTCCTTACGCTGACACGCAGGTTCAATCTGTATATGATGAGCACATGTTGTCTTTGTGCCATACAGCTGCTTTAACTGCCTTGGATAAGGTTTGTGAAACAGGAGAGATAATGCAACCCTACACCAATGTATTACAGGACCCAAGGGAAAGGTTCACTGAATTTTTAGAGAGATTATCCAGAGCAGTAGAAGTACAGGTAGCGAATCCTGAATCCAGGCGTGTCCTTATAGAATCTTTGGCATATGAGAACGCGAATCCTCAATGCAGGCAGGTAATTTGGCCATTAAAAATAAGATCAGCACCATTGGAGGAATGGGTCCTACATACAGCGAACCTGGAATGTAAAAGTCAGGATACAGGAGCTTGGGTAGGTGAAGCTATTTCTACAGGCTTGAGGAGGCACCAGGATGCCAAATACCCTACCTGTGATGATATAGAGGCCTGGGTATGGAAGGCAATCTCTAAGAAATTTAATAGGCATAAAGACACAACATGCTTTAACTGTGGTAGAATAGGACATCTTAGTAGGAACTGTAGACAACGCATTCCTAGAAATAATGCTTTTACCAGGAATGCATCAAACAGAAGGCCTAAGCCTCCTGGTCTATGCAGGAGGTGTGGGAAGGGGCGCCATTGGACTGATGAATGCTTTTCCACAATAGACAGACAAGGTAGATCTTTAAAGCAGGGAAACGGGCTTCCGGGGCTCAATGGAGCCCCAAAAAGGAAGATTATCCAGTCATTCGCAGTGACAGTGGAGGACAGCCTCTCCCAGGACAATTAGAAGATCCACTGCCCATTGTAAATAATACGGCACTGTATAATACATTAGCTCCAGAGGATGAATCAATTACATCAGGAGAAGATACAAAACATATATTTTGGCAAACTTCTATACAATATCATAGACCCAAGCTACTAGTTAAGGTAAATAATAGGGTGATTTACGGATTACTGGACACCGAAAGTGACGTCACTATCCTTAATCAGCAGTCCTGGCCACACAACTGGGCTTTGAAAGAGGTTAATGTTCAATTCTTAGGGATTGGAACCCTATCTGAAGTTAAACAGAGCGTTAGATGGATTGACTTTATTGGGCCAGGAGGACAGAGAGGAAGGTTAAAGCCATATGTTGCAGATATTGCTATAAACCTCTGGGGTCGTGATCTACTCCAGCAATGTAATACGCAGATTAACATTCCTCCTGTATCAGCTAGGAATTATAGACAAGCTCTTAGTGGTAGAAAGAATATAGTAAGGCAGTACAGAAAACAGATGCCAAATGTACAGGCTGTACAGAAGCAAGATGCTAGTGCCAAACCTACAGAGCCACCAAAAGCTCTACCATTAAAATGGCTGACAGATGAACCCATCTGGGTGGGTCAATGGCCTATGACATCTGAGAAGTTAGAGGCTTTGGAGAAATTAGTTCAGGAACGGCTAGATGCTGGACATATTGAGGAATCAACTAGTGCATGGAATTCACCTGTTTTTGTTGTCAAGAAGTCTGGTAAGTGGAGAATGGTTACTGATCTTAGAGCCATCAACAAGGTAATACAGCCTATGGGGTCTCTACAACCTGGGATGCTGTTACCTTCTCTAATTCCTAAGGATTTGCCAATTATAGTTATAGACTTAAAAGATTGTTTATTCACCATACCGTTACAAGAAAACGACAGAGAAAATTTCGCCTTCATGGTACCTACCTATACTAATTCCCGTCCGGTACAGAGATTCCAGTGGAAGGTACTACCTCAAGTTATGTTAAACAGTCCAACTTTGTGTCAATATTTTGTGAATAAACCTCTAGAAATAACTCGTAAAAAATTTCCACATTCGTTAATATATCATTATATGGATGACATATTATTGTCTGATTCAAATAAGGATACTTTGGAAAAGACGTTTGAGGCAGTAAAGGAAATTATGCCTCGCTGGGGATTACAAATTGCCCCAGAAAAAATACAAAGAGGAGATTCTATTAACTATTTAGGTTTTAAAATAGATGCTCAGAAAATTAGATCACAGAAAGTCCAGATCAGAAGAGATCGTTACCGGACTCTTAATGATCTTCAAAAACTATTAGGAGAAATCTCTCAATTACAGACGATTATCGGTGTAGAAGGGCATGGTTTAAAACACCTGAAAATGGCTTTAAAAGGAGATAAAGACCTAAACAGCCCACGAGTACTATCAGCTGAGGCTGAAAAAGAAGTAGAATCGGTAGAAAAGAGAATATTAGAAGCACATGTGGACCGTGTGGATCCAAATCTGGACTGTATTCTGCTTATTTTACCATCTAGAGAATACCCTTCAGGAATATAAATGCAGAGGGAAGACATCATTCTAGAATGGGTATTTC